GACTCTGGCCTCTGTCTTTTCCCCTCTGACAATTATTACCTACATTCTCTCACTGCAATAAACTATGAGCAGGAGGAAAACAGTTTTTCTAAACTGTGTGAGTTCTTCTTGTGAATTATTCAATGTGGAGGTGATCTTGAGGGCCTCCCAAATTGGTAAAGTAGAGAGAACAAAGGCTGTGGAAGAGGAGAATATTTGAAATGAGGAGATAGATTAATGCTCTAGATCATTGTGGATCAGTACCAAGAATGGCATAGCTCTAAGTTCACTCTGGGATTCTACACCGCATCCAGCCCCAGCTAGATCCCAAGGGGTGGGAGGTACCTACAGAAACATGTAAATTAGTGAAGGGGTAGGGGATGCCAAAGGTACATGAAACCTACAGGGGTAGGTTAGCTGTATGACCCATGGGATGGCTGTGCTCCTTACCATTTTCCATAGAAGCAACTTGGATTTGGTCCCTATTCAGTGTCTGGCAGTAAAGAAGAGGCAGTGTGGTTATGATAAAAGCCGAGGAGGGGGCAATCCTAGAACTGCTTGCCATATTGAATGACACACATTAAAAATTCAGAGGTAATGTGGCTAATTTGTTTCATGATCACATATCCATGGTGACAGAAGAAGTCAAGGGAAAAATAGGGTGAGAGAGTCGTAGAAGCAATTTAAGCAATTTATTGGTACAAAAGCCCCAGTTATCAAGGTTGCAAATAAGTCATCAACTTCAGGCATGGTTGTGCACCAAAGTGTTTCTCAAATTTCTGCTTGCTTGGACAGGCATGCTGCTTCCCGAGAGTATGCTTTGAATCTATAATAGCTGGAGAAAATGGTAAGCATAATGGGTGTTTATGTGACTCATTTCTAAATTAACAGGGGGCTGTGTTTTTGATGGTGTTGGAGACTCGAGGCAGAAGCCTGTTAGGGCTGACTACAGGTCAGCCTGTGCTGATGAATGACTGGGCAGCCACACACAGGAAGCTGAGTGAGCAGAGGCTTCACCCAGGGTCCTGAGGCTTGATTCTGGGGGACCACCATAGGCTGCTATTATTTACTAATTGCAGCAGTCTCTCTTCTCGAGAGCTATCTTGTTAGCTTCAAGCATGAATCTTGGTCTACTATGTGATGTGGGGAAAATTACTTAAACCGTGTTATCAGCTTACTTACTAACTGTACATTGGCCATTTGCACATATAGGGCTTTTAATTTTTTTGAGGAGCAAATGGGACAATATTGCTTTTGGCACAGTGCCTGGCATGCATTAAGGGCTCAAACAACAAACTCAGAAAGGGTTTTTTTTTGGTAAATCACTATATACATATGGTGATATCTATCTATCTATCTATCTATCTATCTATCTATCTATCTATCTATCTATCTATCTATCTATCTATTACTGTGTGTGTGAGAGAGGGCTTTTGAGGGCTCTGTGCCAGTCATACATGCCTTAAGACTGACATGCTAGGTGGGTACATCTGAGTGCTTTGATTAGGTAAGAGTTAATGTGACAGAACCATCCTGGTAAGCGTGTTACTATTCTGACTGTAACATTTAAACAATAGTCTGTGTTTTGAAGAGCAGTGAAGAATTCATGTGCTACTGACTGGAGCGTCAGGTGCAGGGTTCATCTCTGGTCTCAGAAGATGAAGAGACTGACCACTGGCCATGTGGCTAGGATGGCCCATAAGGCTGAGCTCTGATGATGAAGATAGACTCTTCCATGTTCTGGGAACTGAGGACAGCCTTGGCAGGCAGATGTCTCATGACAGAGGGATGAGCTCTGGATTCAGGAGATGGCTTGGGTTTGTTTCCCACCTTCCTCAGTACAAGGGTGGCATTGGGTATGTTATTCAGTTCTCTAAATCTCAGTTCTCTCATCAACACAAAGGGTTATGTGCTCCATATTGGAAAATGGGGGCAGGTGGGTGAGTGGGTGGAGGACTTGAAGAGCAGACCACCTCAGCCAGAGATCATCAGCGAAGAGCTGTTGTGGACAGCATCAGCCAGGAGATCATCAGAGAGGAGCTGCAGTAGATGGCATTAGCCAGGAGATCATCTGAGAGGAGCCGCTGTGGACAGCATCCCACATGTTATGAACAGCTTTAAGGGTGGAGCTGTAAGGGTGCTGATTCATTCTACCTCTGAGGGAGGTGTGGGTAGCAGTAGGAGTGTGTAAGTGTGGGCCTGTGTCCTCACTCGAATCTTCTCTGTGCCAGGAAGCTAAGTGCTGTGACACATGGCCTACCCGGCAGCATGGCATTTAGAACCTAGAAAGCACCAGAAACCCAAGTGGGCATCCTGGAGGGGAAGTGGGAGTGGGGACAAGGCTAGGGAGAAAGCGTCTCAAAGAAGCTTTTGGCCCTAGTTCTCTTCCGGTCCCAACTCCAGTTATTTGTGCATCAGAACAACTTTCTGGGAGAGGAACCAAATGAAACAGTCAGGGAAGAGCTCAGATGAGTTGGAGCAAGGTTTCTACACAGAACAGCTTCCTTTTAATACAGAACTCCAACCGTGTACCAAATATGAAGAGACCTTTACAGAAGGGTGGAGGGAGTTGTGAGTTGCAGCCATGTTTGCTAGTCATTCATCAGAAATACAGCCTTCTTGAATAGAGGAAGTGAGCGATGTCAATTACTGCTTGGAAATCCAACCTTGACAGGCTGAGGGACTAGAGATGATGGACAGCCAGCCAGCCAGCCAGACACAGGTTGGAAGATAATGCTATTTGATGGCTTTTTCTCCCTTACTAAGATGTGTGCATCTGCAGGAGAAATGGCCGTCTGTTCCCTCCTTGACTCCCTAAGGGAATGAAAGCTGATGGCAGCAGCTGTTGCTTGTTGATTTGACACTGTGGTCCTCAGCTGGGGGTGGAGAGTGTGGCTTTTGTTCCCCACAGGGGACGTTTGGCAGTGTCTAGAGACATCATTGGTTGTCACAACTGGTGATAAAGGGGTGTGTTACTAGCATCTAGTAGGTAGAGGCCAGAGATACTGCTAAATGTCCTACCCAGGACAGCTCAACCACAGAACAAATCACCCAACCCAACATGCCAGCAGCACTGTTGGGAAATCTTGGCCTGATGCAATGCTATTGTGCTTTTTAAATGGAGGAGGCTTGTTCTAGCCCTCTCCTCTCAGGATACAACAGAATGGGAACAGGTCACTGCTAATCTGTGACCCCTCAATTGTGGATAAATACAGAAGAGAGGGTGACAAGAAGGCAAAAATTCTAGGCCAAGAATGAGCCCAAATGGAGCTTCAGGCTAACCTCTCAAGGAAGATAGAAGGGTAAGGGCAGAGTTTTTCATTTGAAGTCAACCCTTACTTATTTAAAAAACGATTTCCTTAAGCACATAATTATATGTTTATTTCCCTAAGGAACTCTTGAGGCAGAGGAGACCTGCTTAAATTATGGGGAGGGAGGCTGCACACAGGGCTTTAATGGGGTTAAGAGAATTTTTCTATCACCTTCAAAGGAACCTGGGAGGAAGGGAAGGGCACAATTCTGCTTGTGTGGTGCAGAGGATGTGGGGAGGATGGAACAAAAGAGGAACCGAGAGACAGGATGAAGAGTGGCAGTGCAGTCCTCACAGCTCAGGATGGGTGTGCAGATACGAATTCTGGGGCGAAGCTTTGAGCCTCCCACTTCCTTCCCCCCATCCTGATAGAAGAGAAGGGGGGTGCAGGAAGTGGCCACTCACATCCTTCCTGCCCATGCAAGGAAACGTGCACAGACTCTTTTGGAGGATGCTCTGGCTTGCATCAAGGCACAGAAAGCAGTAAGCTTCAGTGCAAGGATGAGAGAGGCAGGGGGACTTTTCGGGGGAGGGTAAGAAGGGTTTCATGTGTGACCTCTCTTCATGCTATTTCTCATTTCTTCTGTGGCAGTCTGAATGCTAGGTTTCTTCTCTTTGGGCAATATCCTTCCCTGACAGACTGGGAATCTAAGTAAAGGAATTGATCCCTCAGATCCAACAGCCAGACTGTGGGGAGGGCACCTCACAGCTGGTGAGATTTGGGCCGATTTACCTTTTGGGTCAGGGTGAGCAGGATGCCACAGAGTTGCGTGTGCAGTAGACAAAAAGTAGAGAGGAGGGGACGGCTGAGGACTGGCTCTTGACTGGGGCATGAGGGAAGGTTCTAGAAAGATGGAAGGCCTAACTCCTCCATCCCTCTATCTCACTGTACCTGGATTGACAGACACAATTTCGAATGTCCGTTATGTGTGTGACTGGACTGTGTGCTTAGCTTCTTCTGCAGGCTGTGAGCTCCTGAAAGCAGTCAGCACACCTCATTCTGCTCAGTATCTCGTATCTCTAATGGAGCCTCCTTCAGACAGGCACACAATACATACCTCATGAATCCTACTTTATTCAGCACAGCCTGCTTCAGCAAAGAACAACAGTTCAGACCCATGTCGGCTTAACAGAGCCCATTTGGCTAACATACACAATTCACACCATCTCTCAAGAAGTTGAAAGTGTGGTAAAGAAACGTGGCCAAGATTCACAGTCCTACCAGTCTTTATTTAATGAATGAATATTCACCCCTCTGAGTAACCAGTCGTTCAGCTCCAGCACTTTTTGGTCTGATGCAGAGGACAGCATGGCAGGATGGAAGAACCACGTGAGCTAGGCAGCCCTGGAGAACTGTATACAGTCCTCATCTTCGAACAAAACAGCTAAGCTTCCTCCGTTGTTGTGAGAGGGATAAGGGTGACACATGTGGGCAAGTGGATCTCCACCCAGGGTGACATTCACAGAGGTCCTCCTGGCCAGGAAGTGGCAGAGATCTGGAGATTCAAGAAAGCTTGGCAGCCAGGGACTTGCATTTTCACTGGCCATTTCCCCACAAACCATATCAAATAGCATCAGGGAACAGGTGCAGAGAATTCCAGCATCTTTAAGAGGCTAAAGATACATGTCACAGTCCTTTCTAGAAGTATGATCTTGGCACCTCTCTGAGCCTTAGCCAACCCATCCCAAGAACAGGGATTTTTTTTTTTTCCCATTCCCATATCACAGAGCTAGCATGAAGCTTAAATTGATGTGTGAGAGTGCTTTGTAAAGTGCTGTCCAGTGTGAGCTGGACAAATCATTTATTCAAGGAAGCAGTGCAGGGTCCCGTTCTTTTCACTTCCATAGGGTCGCAGCCATTTTTTCATTTGGGACCTGCCTACTAGTCGGGGCTGCCTACTTCAGTCCAATGGGAGCCAATGCAAGCTGGAGGGCTTAGTATTTCACTTTCCTTCCTCTCTGGCCGCATGCCCCACATAGAATAGGGGGCTGAGGTGCTAGTAGAAGACTTCTGAGACCCCTCATTTCAAGACCCCTTATTTTGTTCGCTGGTAGAACTGGAAGACTGCTTTCTCTTGCTCGTAGGTCTCTATGGATCCAGGTCGCAGGCGACGAATCTCACTGATGGCATCTCCTGCAGCCAAGCCCTGGTCCTTCACTAGGTAACAGGCTAGCATGGTGCCAGTACGACCGAAGCCCAGGGCACAGTGCACTCCCACGGCCTGTGAAGAGGCAGCTTGATGCGGTTGGTGGAGCCCCCTATACCCTCCCCAGTACTCTGTGGCCCAGTCTCAGACCCTCAGAGGGTGAGAAATGCCATCTGGGCCATGGAAAACAATCCTCACACAGTAGTGAACTGACTGGCTCCCGCGCTGGGCATCTGGTCTACCTCCAGGACCCCTCTTTTACCCTTGCTGTCTAACACAGAAGCCAGTAAGCCACCTTGGCTGCTGACCACTTGAAACGTGGGCAGTCCAAATTGAAATGCGGTGTAAAATACACACTAGGACTTGAAGATGCAGCAGGGCAAGCCCAGAAATATCTTATTAACAAATTTATTTGATACTGATTATATGTTGAAATACCTTTTTTGCCTTACTCAGTCAGTAGTACCAGAATTGAGTCCATCGGCTTCTATTTACATATAAAATTTACATAAGACATGCGATATGCATTATGTATAATGCATAATACACATTATGTATCATATATAATGTATTTTGTGATAAATTTAAAATTACAAGCTGTGGCTCCCTTACACTGGCCGGCATTGTTCTAGAAGGTTGTAAAAGGCCTGCCTCCCTCTGGCTCTCTCTCCCATTCACAACATCAGCTGGTCGGGGCCTCTCATCCCCACCGCCCCGTGACTCCGCCCACTGGGGCCCGGCCCCTCCCGCGCCTGGACGTGGCGGGGTCCCCTCCTCCAGCCCCGCCCCGCCCCGCCCGCCGGGCGCCGCCCGCTGACCTCTCCCCGCGCGTTGGCCTGGTCCACGATCTGCACGAAGCGGTCGATCTGCTGGGGGTCTGGCGGGCAGAAGTCGGGGACGCGCAGGCGGTGCTGGGCGAGCTCGGGGAACCGGTCTCCGTGCGGGGGCCCGTGCTCCGTCAGCGACACCAGGTGCCGCACGCCCTGCGCCAGCAGGAACTGGTAGTGGGCGGGGAGACGCGGCAGCGCCATCCCCGCCAGCCGGCCCGGGAGCACCCAGGAGAAGTTGGGGGGCTGTGCGCCCATGGCTCGGGAGGCGGGGCGCACGGGACGCGGGGTCGCCGGAGACGAGGCTGGTCGCCACGGCCCCGCCCTCCCGGGTAACCGGCGCCCGCCCCGCCCCGCCCAGCCCCGCCCCGCTCCGTAGGGCCGGGCCACGTGACCGCGGGGCCCGCCCGGGTGACGCCCCTCTCTGCCGGGAGGGGGGAGTGAGTGGGGCGGGCAGAAACGCCGGGCGGGGCCGGGGTGGGGCCTCTGCTCCCAGTCACCCAGTAAGGCCCCGCCACCCCGCCCAGCCGGAGCAAGGCATTCGTTAATTGGCTGGATGACCAAGTGGAGGTCCACTCCCACCACGGAGCAAAGGCAGAGCAAATTAATTGCTTTGTAGATGACGTAACCGGGGTCGGGCTCTGCTGCTCCCTGGTGGTGCATTGCTGTTACTGCATCTCTGGACAGCTGTTCCCCTCCCCCTCCTTCTCCCTTCCCCTCCCCCTCCGTCCCCCTCCATCCCCTCTCCCCCTCCCCCTCCCCCTCCGTCCCCCTCCATCCTCTCCCCCTCCCCCTTCGTCCCCCTCCGTCCCCCTGGGGGCCTGGCCTTGACTTCCTTTCTTCACAGAGGGTGTGGGAGGAGAGTTTAAGAGGTGACAAATCTATTCCAGTCTCCTCGCCTGTAACTGACCAGTCATTGTGGGTTACTTCTTGAACTTTTCCAGTAAGAAGGAATTAATTACAAAAAAGGTTAATTTCATGTTCCCTTTGCTGGGATTGGTTTTTTTTAAATTTTTTTAAAATAGTGGACTGCCACGTGGTCCCCAGAAATCTTACTCAGAATGTAGTAATGATATCCATTAGCATAATCACATTTATTAGCTAGACCCTGTGGCCGGTAATCCTAGCGATTCAGGAGACTGAGATTGGAAGATTGTGTCTCAAGATCATAGAGAAAACTCCATGAGACTCCGTCTCCAAAATGTCAGGTTAGAGGCATGGCTCAAGCAGTAGAGTGTCAGTGTGAACAAGCAAGAGAGAGCATAAGGCCCTGAGTTCAATCCCTGGTATTGGCTTAACTCTTCTAAGGACATTACATATATGAACTTAGTTATGACAGAGGTAATCTAACCTCATTTTGTAGGTGAGGGAACAGGCACTGGAGAGGTTAAAGAAGATGTGGAATAGCTCCAGAAACACAGTGCTGTTCTACAGGAAATTATATCTTCTTCACAAAACCACTCTTCAAATGTCCTCAGATTTAAACACCTATGGGTTTTCTCCATTTTAATTCCAATTTCCTATTTCTCCGTATTTCAGGATTTCCAGGCCTTCTGAGTCCTCTTGTTCTGGGCAGGTCAGTTTATCATTGTGATTATAAGCCGGGACCTAGATCTGAGTAGGGTGTCTCAGCTAGGATTGGAAGTCGTATCTTCATATGAATGATGTATTGTTGTATTACTGTGAGAATAGTACCTGATCCTGTGCCAGGTGTTTTCCAGAAGAACCACACATGAAAGGCATTTTATATCCTTTTCATACAGAATAACCTGATCCTTAGAGGAGTTGGTCAGGGACACACTGATCCAAGCCCAGGGCACAGAGCCATGAAAATGAGCTTCTCCCTCTGCCTGGCCTATGCCTGACATGCATATTTCACCATTTAGTCCTCTGACTCCAGCAAAATAAAAAAGATTTCTCCTTCCCCAAAGCTCAAAGCCAGCTCTGACTCAGTGCAAAACCATTTACCCAGGCAACTACTCTCCTGGGATTTCAGGAGTTGCCAAATCTCCTCTTTTCTCCTCTTCTATACAATTGAGTACTGATTAAATCTTTCCTGTTTGCACTCCTGTTTCCCTGAACAATTCCCTATTCACTCCCTTTTCTGTCTTCCCAGTTGTGGCCTTCCTAACACTCATCACCTAACCCTGCTTCTCTCAATTGAAGTACTCCCCAGGATTTCTGGTTGCATTTGCCTCTAGAGACAAAACTCCAGGGCCAGTCCTTGCAAATTAGTCATCTCTTGCTCAATCCTTTGTTCTTTACACTCTTCAAAGTTCCTACCCCTGACTCTGTCCTCCCATTCCCCTTCTTGGCTCCTTGATATCCAGCCCAAAGTCTCTCTCCTCCAAAGGCAATACACTTTGGGCAGGGAAACAGATTCTCTTCTCTGTGTCTTCAGACTGTAATTTTCCCTGATAGGTCTTTGCAGGACAGGAGCACATTCATCAACCCACAGGACTCCCTATGGAAAGGCCAGTTGGCTCTTTTTTAAAGCCTTCTTTACTTTCTCTGCTGTTCTACCCAGGGAGGACACTATTCCTGGAGAGCAATCTGTTGACACTGCCGGTTGGATGAATAATAAGTTTAAGAAATTCTTTCCAGCAGACCCAGGGAGAAAAGGGAGTCTCTGCCAGAGCTGTGTCTGATTGTCAAATGTCCCATTTAATTTTCTGTCGTGGTTCAGGGAGCTCAAACTAACGCAAAATCCTTCTGCTTCCTGTTGAGGACTCCTGCAACTGGCAATGTTAGTTCTTCCCCTGCTATGGTCTTGACATTCTTCACCTCTCTCTGTGGAGTGTATCTGACCCTCCATCTCCTTCGATGTCAATCCATCCTTCTCAGGATGGCAGTTACTGTGCTGAACTGGGGTTACCTCATTGCACTGAAGCCAACATTGCCTCCTTCCATCTTCCCATTCTACACAAAGGTGGAGCCTGAACATGGTGCTCAAAAACATCAAATAAACAAATGTCTAGAAAAGGAGTAAGTGGAATGCATTGGAAAGACTATGATCCTATGTTTTTGTGTGTCTCTAGCACTGTACATTTGTGACTCTTTTTGTTGACTGTGTTTGAGGATGTGTTCACTATTGTGTAACATCTCTTTTAGGTTACCTTTTTTTAAAAAAAAATCTGCCTTCTGTTTTTAAAAAAATAGTGACTGTTAGTATAATCCTATGTCTAATAAGTTTTTTTTTTTTTGGTGCTGGTACTGGGGCTTGAACTCAGGGCCTTGCTCTCTTGCTTAGCTTTTTTGCTCCAGACTGGAGCTCTACCACTTAAGCCACACTCTCATTCCAGCTTTTGGCTGGTTAATTGGAAATAAGAGTCTCATAGACTCTTCTGCCCAGGCTGGCTTCAAACTTCAATCCTCTGATCTCTTCCTCCTAAGTAACTAGTATTACAGGTGTGAGCCACCAGCACCTGGCTAATTACTATTTTTGTAAAAGGGATAAATAAACCTTCTTCATCAGGCACTGCTCTTGTGGTATGCATGAGTATGCCAGAATGTGGTTATCTGTGTACACGAGTGTGTTCAGGGACAGATTCCTGGAGACAATCTGTTTATGCTGATGATGGGATGAATAATAATCTTAAGTAATTTCCCTGACTTCAAGGAATTTACAATGTACTGGGGGGATTTAGACTCAGATATAATGATTCCCCAAACATATAATAAAGTCCTAAATGGTTCATCAAAGCAATTGTCATTATCTGGCAATCAGATAATATACATTAAAAAACTAATTTGTGCAGTAAAAATAACAAGCATGAAGGCAGTCAGTGGGGTAGTAGAGGTACTGAGCGGGGAGATAAGCTTAGGTTATAAGGTTAGGAAGATAGGACCTTCCTTTTCCATTTTGTGCGGTATCTTTTGAAAAGCTCAACAGATCAGTCTCAGGACATCCTAGCTCCTCCTTTCCTAGTTTTGACTTAGTTCTTATCCACATTGATATCTCAGGTCCCTGTTAGACTTGATGTTAGTAACAATTAGACATAACATTAGAGAATTTCTTCCTGCAGGTAGCTAGCTCCCTGTGTTCCACCAAGCCCAAAGATGGTTTGAGTGTGGGCTCCTGTGGACCTTGGACTACAGTCAGTATTGTCTATGTCTTATGTATGCTGATTTTTGTATCTCACCACACTTCTCATTTTGTGATCTGGAAATTGGACCTAACAAGAAGGTGTGGTGTGGTAGCCAGCCTCCAAGATGGCCCCAAGGAGCATCTCATACCTGTGTTGTCATTTTCTACCATGATGGGCCAGATTGTGCAACCAGTAAGGTAGGAAATGATAATGAGTAACTTCTAGGTGGAATGCCGACCTTGGATGTGGCTTGTTCTCTATTGGGAATCCAGCTGCTAGGTGGTGAGAACCTAGAGAGAACCAGGCGGGGAGGAATTGAAGCGTCTTACCAAGTCACCTAAGCAAGCGAGCTGTTTTGGAAGTGGATCTTCCAGCCCTATCAAGACTTGAGATGACTTGCACATTATGGATTCCCTGAGCTAGAACCACCCAAGTAAGCCTCCTCCTGAATTCCCTACTGACAGAAACGGTGAGATCCTAACTATTCAGTATTTAACCCATCCATTTTGGGATAATTTCTTATGCAAGCAATATTCAATTTGAAGAAGAGGACTAATTTCCAGTAAACTCACGAACTGGAATGAAATGGACACAAGGGCAATTTAAACAGTTGTGGTCTAAGTGCATGCCTGTGTCTGTGTGAGGTGTTCTGGCAAGTCTTTGCAAATTTTCTACCTTTGGGGAAACTATGCCTGGTAGGGGAACCAACCAGAGCCATTTGGATATGGGTTTTGTGGATGTATAGTATTGGAGATAAAGGTTTATGTAGTATATTTATGGCTTAAGAGGATATATAAAATGCATACCAACTGGCTGTGTCACAGGAAGCAAGAGTTAGAACATGGTTTATCCAATCAGATCACCACCTTGATGTCTACTGGCTGCTTACCAGCCATGGGTGCAAGGCTGTGAAATGGTGTGGGTGTGGTCAGATCACCTTGGACATTTTAATATAGGTCTTTCCACCAGATGGCACTGATAGCTTTTTCATGTTTCTTTTTTTTTTTTGGTCTTGTTGAAGCTGGTGTGATTTGGACTGTTACAGAACAATCCATAACCCCAATCTCACAAGTTGCTAATTGATTTCTTGTCTTGTTTTTTTTTTGGACAGTTTTGCCTTTATGGCTGTCAGTGATTATGCTTTCTTTTTAGGTCCTTCCAGGAGTGTGTTGAAACCTCTAAGTTGGGGTGTTGGAGATGCTGCCTTATACCAGGTATTACAATATGAGTTGGGGAAGGGGCAGCAGGAGTTGGGGGAGG